TAGCTCACCTGCACCTGCGATGTGTGTCATGGTAGGAGGGAAGAATAGCTCACCTGCACCTGCGATGTGTGTCATGGTAGGAGGAAAGAATAGCTCACCTGCACCTGCGATGTGTGTCATGGTAGGAGGCAGCTGCAGGTGCAGAGCAGAAGTGGCTACGATGTGACTTTCTTGCCGAGTCCCTTTCCTTTTTTCTTCCATCCTGGGATTCAGTTCTATAATCATAACCAGTTCCTTTTATATTAGGGAAAGAAATATGAATCAAATCAACTTAAGCTTGGCTTAGCTGTCATGCACAATCAAAGAATGCTTATGTTGGAGAAATAAGCACATAATCAAATGAGTCATGCCACCTTAAGCTCGTCTGCCAGAACTTGAGGTTGCCTGCAACTCCCTGAAGAACTCGCCTGCTTCTTTATATACTCGTAGGTAGGTAGACTGTGTGACGTTGCTGTTGCGGTCGCAGTTGAACGCTTCAATAATATCGGGGCGTTTTACGGAGATACTTTGTACGTTTATGCAAAAAGAATCGGTCCTGAAAATGATAAATTAGAGAACAATTTATTTGATTCATTGTTTCTGTAAGCTTATGCCATTAATTCATCACCCCCGGTATCACTTTGAATACTAGGGATGACCGTAGCCAATACATACGCGGGTTGGAAAAAATAAGGGAAGAGCTTAATATTTTGAGATCATGATATTATAATATATAATATATTGCGGTTTCAGCGTTTATTAGGCCGTAGGCCTGTCGCCAATTCTTAGCATCGCAGAACATTCGCAGCTTGTTGCAGTCTCGGACTCACAACTCATTGCTCCAACACAGTCAAAGTTTTCGTTCCAATTAAAGTCGCTCCAGTGAGCAATGCATGGAGTCGGATTAGAGGTGAATCAGGAGCAGATCGGCCACGTACGGTGTTGAGCTTCTATTTAGTAGCCTCTTTCGGAATTAAATTGCCCGGTGGGCCGAATCTGCGTGATATGACTAAAAAGAGCATAAAATAGAGAGAGGCTAAACAGGGTAAATTCGAAAACCATGACCATGTCCCGCTCTATAAATGGCGTCGATGAATGTACACGCGTACGTTTGCAATGTCATCGAGGTAACGAGAAGAGAGTCGACTCTAACTTGACATTTAGCATGGTGAATGTAGCCTGTGACGAACAAACCCATGCCCAAACCTACTGCTCAAGACGCCTATTTTTAGCATGACACTTCTGCCTATTATACCCACTTCTCAGCACATAAGTCAAATCATCGAATGTAGATAATAAATTGGTGCAGATACTCAATCAAATTTAAAAATCTGTAACTAATTCTACTCCATGAATATGATGAATACCGCAGAATAACGCAAAGCAATTCTTCTTTGCTCAATCTATTGACTACAGCAAATTTTTGCATAGTTTCCTAGAGTTCGCTTAATACATCGTAAAAAGTAACACCAGAATTAATGTTGCGGGAGCTTTTAACTGAAAAATATAATCAATCCGATGAGTGTAAGAATCAAAGGTAACTTGCATAACGTGCGCTCACATGTGGGCACCGCATGTGCGCAAATACGCAAACCATAACCTACTCGATAATATTTATTTCACATGCAATAAAACTCCAGCTGCAACTGGAAAGGTTCAAATGCTTCTTTGATTCAGAACGTGTTCAAACGGGATCCCATTTGTTAGCATTGTTAGCAACTTATTTGACTTCATATTACTATCATATATTCTACCATAATTTTGGTTGTGAATCTAGGAATTTAGAGTGCAGTTGGAAATTTGTAAGCTTGAAACGAATTTTATTTTAGAGCTCAGCACTTCTAATGCAAAAATAACTTTTGTTGACTGTTGTGAAGTGTGATCGGGTAGCTGCTTGATAGCAAGTTACTGAAATCAAGCTACTGCAGTAACTTGACTTTGTTAAGATAACACGCACTTTTCTATTGTATTGTCTTCCTTAAACGATGACGTATTTGACTGAAAAAATTCTATTGTGAAGGAAAACTTGTTAGTTCTTCCTTCGAGTATTTTTCAAGATGTAGTTAAATGATGTGACCTTCACCGTCACTTATTTGAAAACACAGCAATTATACGATGCAATTTGCGGCATTCGACAATAATAAAAGATTTCAGCTTGAGAAATATGCTTTGCATCAGTTGTTATTTGACCGGCTTATGCACGTTTGTCTGGGACGCCTGTCAAAGACCATCACTACCGTGCTTCGAATGGACTATCATGATCCCTTCCCTGAAGAACGTAGCCTACAACACTTCTTGACTGCAACATTATCAGCCGCACGCTACCAGACTGATCACATCCATTGAATGAGACCAATCATCCCACAGGCAAATAGCCTGATGTCGTATGGCCCAGCATCGTCCGCCAATAGGTGAAAAAATTTTACACCACCCTGACGGAGCACGCCGGAGCCGTCCGTATCTGTCCCGTGTGTCGAATCAGCCCACGGTCGAACGGACACGCATCGTACGACGATAAATTTTGAAACAGAACTATGCTATCTGAAACTTAACCCCAAATACTCTGAGCTAAAAGTTACGTAAGTTAGCGAAGCTGCGGAAGTCGCTCGTCGATTGGCGATAGATTTTAGAACAGAACTATGCTCTCTGAAAGCTAACCCCAAATGTTGTGAGCTAAAAGTGACGGTCTGGTGGTGCACGGCAGGGTGCAGGGGGTCGTCTGCCGTAGACCACCACTGCCCTGGATGTAATGGACCAACATGATTCCTGCCTTCCGGAACGTAGCCTTCAACACTTCAAGCCGTCCGTATCTAGGCCGTGGGTCGAACCAGCCCTCGGTCGAACGGCCGCTTGTCGAAGGACGATAAATTTTGGTACAGAACCATGCTATCTGAAACCTAACCTCAGATGCGGTGAACGTAAAATTACGTAATTTAACGATGCCTGGAAGTCATAATCGATCTGCGGCCTGGTGGTGCACGGCAGGTGGTGGTCAAGGCCGGAAGAGCACAAAGCCGAGTGGTGCACGGCTGATTGGTGTAGGTCCGGAGAGATCCAAGGCGTTCGATTCAGGGCTTATTGGTGCACAAAATTGGTGGTGCACGGCTGCGCTCCCGGATGCAGGCAGTTACACTGTAGACCCATGTAGGCTGGTTGGTCGCAGTCCGTTGTCCGCAATTTACAGTTCGAGCTAAAGTCAGGGTATGAAGTGATGATTCGATGCAAAGTTCAGTGGTAGACAACCAATACTCTCTGGGCTATTCGCTTTAGAATATGGTGACACAAAGCTCCTAATATCTAAAGCAAGATGATGTCACGGGCTGGTTACCGACGGATGGATAAATCCGCGGCTGATTGGTGGTCATCCGGTAATATGCTAGGCGTTCCTTTCAAGGCTGATTGGTGCACAAATTTTGTGGTGCACGGCTGCGTACCCCTTTCCTCTGGTCTTAAAACCAAGCGAATAGTACTAAGCTGCATATATATAGCGCACAGAGATTCAAATGCCCCTTCCCTTTCTCCTAGTGTACAGTGGTAAGGGAGGGGGCATTTTTTAACGCACTTTTTAGATTCGGTCGTGTCCGTCCCGAAAGTATCAGGTGCCAAATACGTGCGCCCCACAGGTACGCAGCCGTGCACCACCAAATTTGTGCACCAATCAGCCCTGAAAGAAACGCCTAGAATATTTCCAGATGACCACCAATCAGCCGTGGATTAAGCCATCCGTCGGTAACCAGCCCGTGACATCATCTTGCTTTAATCCCTTTCGTGACGGCAATGTGTTCTACAACTTTTTATTCGCGTTTTTCTACAGAATCATCATGAACTTGGACCGAATATTGCATCTCCGTAAAAAATAATTAAATATATGTTAATGGTAAAAATTATATATTTGGGACTAGAAAATCCCGGTAGTATATGGTTCCAACTGAGGTGACATAATTTGCGACATCACTGATTTTGATAAAAAAAATATTTTCGTAATATTTTTTGTTAGTAGTTGAATAATATTACAAACTTCCTTTGGCAAACGCGTGTAATAGCTTATAAAATAACATATCCCAAAATACCTTTATTAATATTCCTTTAGATTGGACATATGTAGGCGCAGGAGTGTTTCTAATATGTCCCTGTAGTTAGCTATGCCTTAAATTTAGCGCTACATGCAAGTTTTAGAGTAAATCGTTGGGTGGGACGTCACAGTCCCGTCAGTCAATTACTTTTGAGTTGACATGTTCACGAAAGGGATATATAAGGAGCTTTACGCCACCATATTCTGAAGCGAATATCCCAGAGAGTAATGGTTGTCTACCACTGAACGTTGCATCGAATCATCACTTCATACCCTGACTTTAGCTCGAACTGTAACTTGCGGACATCGGACTGCGACCAACCAGCCCAGGTCTACAGTGGAACTGCCTGCATCCTGCCGTGCACCAACAGACCGTCACTTTTAGCTCACAACATTCGGGGTTAGGTTTCAGAAAGCATAGTTCTGTTCCAAAATCTATCGTCCTTTGACGAGCGACTTTCACAGCTTCGCTAAATTACGTAACTTTTAGCTCACAGCATCTGAGGTTAGGTTCCAGATAGCATAGTTCTGTTCCAAAATTTGTCGTCGTACGACGCGTGGCCGTCGACCGTAGGCTGATTCGACACACGGGACTGATACGGACGGCTCCGGTGCGCTCCGTCCGGGTAGTATAAAATTTTTTCTCGTATTGGCAGACGACGCCGGGCCATACGACGTAAGGCTATTTTACTGTGGGCTGATTGATCTCTAATTCAATGGATGTGATCTGTCTGGTGGCGTGCGGCTGATAATGTTACAGTCAAAAAGTGTTATAGGCTACGTTCTCCGTGGAAGGGATCATGATAGTCCATTCGAAGCACGGCAGTGGTGGTCTCCGACAGGCGTTCCCGCCCCACGAGCGCCCAAAACTCGCTCGGTCTATGACCGTATTCTATTCAGAAGCTTATTTCGCTTGTACAAACATAGCGTAAGCGGACATATAGAGCCGCTAATTTACGCACTGGACGAGCTAAAGGCTTTTTCAATTCAGAAGCTAACCAACCCCAAAATTTTGATAGGGAATTCTGTTGTGCTTAACCGCCCGGCCTCCTCGCCGATTCTGACCAGAAACTGTCGGACAGAGCTGGGATCGAACCCGCACCTCTATGCTCCACTCCCGGTAATTTTAACTGTAACCTCTGGGCAGATGGTTTAAACTTTAACATGATGAATGATATTCGGACAACAACTTAAACTTGAAGTATTTTAATGTTTTTAACGTATTATGGTTTACATTGATGATAATCGATATTTTATGTTGCAACATATGTTTTCAGGAAAGGTTATGACTATAACCTTATAAAAATGGCAAACCTCTATGAATTTCAAAGGGTCCAAATTGTTGATGCCCACATGATAGGTGCTAGTGTGACAGAAACTGTCAGAAAGCCTGACGTTTCAAGCGGTACTGTCTCAAAACTAATGGTTACTTTTGAAAGAGGAGGAAAAAAGTCCGCAGCAAAGCACATGTCTGGCCAAAATTCGAAGTTGTCTGAGAAAGACCGACCTACTCTAAATCAAATTGTAAATGAAAATCGAAAGGCCGCGACTCTTAAGATTACAGCAGACTTCAGTGAACATCTACAGAAGCCAGTTTCCATACAATCTGTGCGTCTCGAGTCTCCCTAATGTTTGTCTTAGTTTCTTTATTCGACGGCAATAATTTTTTTGAACGCACGTGCTTGATTATAAAGTATAGTTTATACCTGAGGCGAAAAAAACTTCATGCCTTCGATATTCACTTGACAATGCTTCTGAAAGTACCTGCCCCGAGTTAATTTATGTAGCTACTAAAATCTTTAATGCAGGTTTTGTTGTAAAACAGACTAGTTATTACTAACAATTTTTATATGATCTTATAACAATTTCTTGAATAAAACGTTTGTAAGACTTGAATGTTCGGATATATAATGTTTTCATGGGATATCTTATTGTAATATTCCGTCGTTTGAACTAAAATTATTTGTTATCATGTAGAGTGAATGCTAGGTTTTGAAATTGCTCAAGTACAAACTTAAGGTATTAGCTGGTTGTATATCGGCTGTGCCTGGGCTTGATAAAAATTATTTTGCGTTTTTCAAACCAAATTTATACTTAAATGTTGCAAATAGAATTTCAATTTGTGGTGCAATCTTCCTTCCAATTTTCCCACAATTTTCCACAAAGAACGAAATTTTTAGATCCAGGTAATATAATACTATAATACAATACAATAAGTTCTGGTATGCAATAATTTCAGCTTCTATGTATAATATACTGACACGATAAGTATCCTGAATACGCGCCCCAACAGCCCCTATATACAATATCCTGACTTCTGCCCTCTATAACCTGTATGGGATGATGATGGCCACCTTCTGCCGTGCCTGGCACTCCTCCGGCCGCCATTGGCCCCCAGGCAGCAGCTCGGGGTGCCGCCGCTCTAGCTCCGCAAGGTCTGCTGAAGAAGTGTCCACGGCGACTGGTCCTCCTGTAATGCAGTTCACGACCTTAACAGTATTATTGTGTGCTGCACTCCCTTGCAATTAATTGATTGATCAGAAGGCATATTTGTCCATATAAAGCAAAATAATAATTTTGTCAAAAGATCGCTCAGTGAAAGAGTCGTGAAAGAAAAACGTTAAGATTGTAGAGAATTTACAACAGCCCAGCACTCACCAAGGTTTGGAGGCACAGTTGGACAAGGCAGCAGTTCACCGCTCACTGAACTCAAGTTCGGCTCTTCACCTGTCACGTTGTCCAACTTGTTATCGCTTTTTTTAACTAAGTCTCCCTCGGTTATGAGACTTTCAATATTGTTGACGCTGTGATTATTTTTGATGGCATTTATGCCAGTCATTTGAGTGTATATGGTGCGATCGCCGTTGTTCTTGACTCCCTCGAGTCTCGCTGACACGTCACCGTGAGTCTCGCTTGATGGCCGGGGAGAAATCTCGCTGTTGCGATGCCAGTTTCGTTCCTTAAATATAACAATAATGTCACGAAATACTTATTCTTAACTGAGTAATACAATTAAAAAAATTCAAACCAACTCGTAACATGAACAGTGTAACCCATTTTGTTAACACTCTCTTCCTCCGAAAGCATGCATTCATAATTCACGATTATTTATGCATGGTCCCTAATTATGAACAGTAAGAAAATGAGACTTGTATATGAAGCCGCACCTTAGTCAGGGACTGTTCGCTGGTCATGACAGACGCAGTGTAGGAAGGTTCTATGGAATATGAGGGAGCTGTAGCGGCGTAGAACAGTGCGCAGGCCAACATCAGCAGCAGCAGCAGCACATTTCTTGAACAATTCACATGAACACCACCAAGACAATGTCTGAAAATTATAAAATTATACCAATTCTGAGATGTGGGAAGGAGAAGCTTGCAGCCTTTCAATATTTGCAAAATACTTTCATGCGTTGCTTGCGTGGTATTGTGTGGGAAAAATGTGATCGCCCTTCTAGACACTTGTTGGAAATAGAAAAATATTCCAATTAGCATGACAGTAAATCGAAACAACTTAATAATATCAGTTCAAGCAAGAACATCTATACAAATCCATGAAGCGAATAAATTTCGTTGTAGGGGACTGAAATAATGTTAAAGTTTTCTTACAAGGTATGCTCTAAATTTTTTACAGCCACATTTATTAGGTTTTGTAGAATTGTTGAAGATAATTTTGAATAACGGTTTTAAATAAAAATTAAATAATTTTTTAAATGAAGTCCGGATACTTCTGATAACCGACCCTCGTTAATGTAGTCATCACCATCCCATTTCATGAAAGACTTACACAAACTTCCGAATAAAATTGTCAATCTTTATCCAAAATTGAATCCCGAAAAGGATGAAGGAATGACACGATGTAACAAACTAAAGAATAATTCATCATTCACAGGAGTGGACAATGACAGCTTTAACCATTCACTACTTGATTGAGAGCAGCAGTTATTAATGCACGCTCTCACATTCTCGAATCATAGCATCAGAATAGCGCATGATATAAAAAGGTATGCCAAAGCATTCATTTTCTGCAATGGCCTAATGGTACAACCGAGTTTATTGGTGCTTATTGTTATTGATGTTAGGCAAATGACCTGCAGAGCCTGCATGACCAGGAACAGCAAGAGGCAGAGCAGCGACTGCAGCCTGCAGAGCCGCCCTGAACAGCTTCTGATGGCAACCGTTCTCGGAAAGGCAAGTCTGAAACGCAACAGATGTCAATCGAATATGTCTCAGAAACAGTAATAAACTAAGAGAAATTAAGAACAATAATTGAAGTATCGGATATGAATTTCATGCGAAAAAACCCTGAAATATATATATCTTAACGACATATTTTTCCTGATGAATCAATGTTATTACAAAAACAGTGAAAATAACACTTGACCACATGTAAGCTTGGCCTTCAATGTGGCAAGCTTGAGAGCAGTGCTGGGCCTATACTTGAAAAAAAGTTAAGAGATCGTAAGTTCATCAGCCAATCATTGACGGCCTTTCGAGCAGAATCAACCAATCATAGAGAAGCAAATAGAGCGTAAGTACTTACGTTCAATTAACGTGTCTCATGGTAGGAGGGAAGAATAGCTCACCTGCACCTGCGATGTGTGTCATGGTAGGAGGGAAGAGTAGCTCACCTGCACCTGCGATGTGTGTCTTGGTAGGAGGCAGCTGCAGGTGCAGAGAAGTGGTTGTGAGGCGACTTTCTATCCGAGCCCCTTTCCATTTTTCTTCCATCTTGGGATTCAGTTCTATAATCATAACCAGTTTCTTTTATATTAAAGAAAGAAATATGAATCAAACCAACTTAACTTTGGCTTAGTTGTTAACAATCAAAGAATGCTTATGTTGGAGAAATAAGCACATAATGAAATGATTCATGCCACTTTAGCTCATATGCCAGAACTTGTGGTTGCCTGCAACTCCCTGAAGAACTCACCTGCTTCTGAATGTACTCGATCGTAAGTAGACTCTGTGTGGCGTTGTTGTTGTAGTGGCAGTAGTGCGCTTTAATAATATTGGGACGTTTTACGGAAATACTTTGTACTTTTATGCCAAAAGAAAAAGGTCTTGAATATTAAAAATTAGAGAACAATTTATTTGATTCGATGTTTCGGTAAGTTTATGCCACTGATTCAACACTCTCGGTAATTGAATACTAGGGCTTTAAATACTAGGGATGACCGTAGCCAATACATACACGGGCTGGAAAAAATAAAGGAAGCGACTAGCAGGATAAGATCATGATATTTGAACATGTTATAAACAATATAAACTTGAGATTTTTTATTTTTTTAACGTATTATGGTTTATCATTGATGTTAATCGACATTTTATGCTTCAACAGATATTTTCAGAAAATTGAATGGCTTTAACCTTATAAAAATGGCGAACCTTTTGAATTTCAAAGAGGATAAATTGCTGATGCTCGTATAATAGGAGCTAATTCGACAGAAACTGCCGCAATGTTTGACGTTCCAAGAGGTAGTGTCTCAAAAGTAATTATTACTATTGGAAAAAAGCGGAAAAAATTCATCAGCAAAGCACATGCCTGGCTTGAAGTCAAATTTGTCTGAGAGAGGCGGCCAGTCTCTAAATCAAATTGTAAATGCAAATCGAAAGACCACGACTCTTAAAATTACAACAGGCCTCAGTGAACATCTACAGAAGCCATGCAGTTTTCATACAAACTACGCCTGGAGTCTCTCCAAAGCCAAAGCTTTTTCATTCGGCGACAATAGTTTTTGCGAATGCACGTGTCCTAGAGTAGTTAGTGAATACAAACCCTCATGTGTTTACCAGCAGACCTAGTTAGCTATGAGTTCACTGTGTAACTGAGAGCTCGCCTCAGACGCTGAGTTGACAGCTTATACAGCACATGTGTCACGAGGACAAGAACCCCAGTGAACGGTGGTACGAAGTCTATAACGGGCCTGGGAACCTTGGTAAACCCTCAGAATTAAGCTAATAAGCGCGCTGCCATGTAACTCGCATTAGAGTTACTTTGACGTAAAGGCCCGTTTCCGCTATGAGACTTTCCAATGACGCCTGAAAAACTGGCTTTTTCAGTCCGGACTGAGGCAGTCCCGACCATCGAGACTGGCGCGACGGGGAGTCAAGCCCTGTTCAATCTTTGGCTAGACTTGCGTGACGGGCTACTCACGTCCCCACGGGCAAGGGTCAGTGTCGCTGTGACTGCCGTTCCAGTAGGTTGTGCGTTGGGCTGACGCTCCAATAGACGCACCATTGCCTGCCCCTTTGCTTTTTGTTTGACCATGTCACACGACGGAGAGTGCCGAGTGGAGCAGAGCAGAGATGCTACTGAAATGCTTATCGATTTATATAGAGAGGCACCTTGCCTATGGCAAGTAAAAAGTTCTGTCTACAAAGATAGAGTCTTGAGAATTCAAGAATTAGAAAAAATAAGTAAGGAGATGGATAAATTAGATCCATCCACGAACATAGGTGAAAACAATACTTCCTAACTTCTTATTAACAGATTTTATCAGTTTATCAACATGGATTCACTCGTCCGTCAATTAAAAAATCTTAATTATCTTATTTTACTTACAGTGTATGTATACTCAGTAAATAGTAAATAAACACAATAACTAATAATAGTGGTAGCATTTGTGAAACATGCTATGATACCTATCTAAATTTCTAGACCAAAAACCAGACATGGTTAAACATGGTAACGTATTTACTACATTTAAATTTCTCGACACATTAAAGATATAATAAAATAATGATGTTTCTTAATCCCTTGGTGAATGCATGTTATTACACGGATAAACTATGTTAATGAGAAGTTTGAAACCATTCTTACGGTTCATAACTGCCATTAGGTAAATAGATCTTTGTTTCCTCCTGCGCATAGTGACAACAGCTAGTAAAGCATGAGCGGCAGCATAATCTATCTCCAAAGGCCAGCGAGTGCGGTAGCCCGGTAGCCCAGACGGTCAGTCTCGGTCCCAGCACACGCGCGTAGTGGAAACGCGCACGCCAGTTTTGATGTCCAGCCATGTGGCTTATTGATCTCAATCCTTCAGAATCAGTCCCGTATAGTGGAAACGGGCCTTAACGGCCGACGTCGTATAGCTCTACCTGTATCGTATCTCTCATGTATAACCACCCCGTAAAAGACATTTTCTCCAGTCATGTGGTGCCAACCAAATATCTCACGAACATTTGTCGAACTTTGAACAGTGGCGCCTGAACGATGTGATAATAGCCGTGTTTTCTTAAAAGTGAAACTCGTCTGCTTGACTTTAATTGTGAAACTTTACATACATGGTGAAGTGAAAAACTTTTACAGTTTTTGTGATTAAGGCAATACTGCCTGCCGTATAGTGCTTTTCGTGTGGCCAAGCCTTCCAACGGAATGTTTCTGTGATGTTTAACACAAACGCTGATCAACGGATAATCCAAGACGACCATCATCTCCTAATTACACGATTTCAGCAACCGAAAACTGTGAGAAGATTCAAGTTTTGACTGGCGCGTTTTAGTATTTTACCTACAACGTCAAGACTGTCTTTTTGAGCCTACGACTGACGCAGAAACCAATTTGAAGCGTTCATGCATTATTTTTTTGCGCTCTTTAGAATCCGATACGACCTCAGAGAGCTGTGACAGGCGATACTACGGTGGCGACGCAGCAACTGAGTCGCGATCGGCGCTCTTTGCTTCGCAAGCCGAAAGCTTCGATGAAGAGACGGGCGACTACGAGCGACTAAGGCCGGCACCAGCTGAGGGCGACTACGAGCGTTCCTACAACAAGTCAGCTGGGTCGTGTCAGACCGCATACGGTGGCAGCAACTGCCGATGGCAGATGGCAAAGAAATCAACAAGAATAAACTTACTGATTAAGTCAATTCAACTTCAGATGGATCAGCTAGAGAAAAGTATTGAGAAAGCCAGTATGTAAATCAACGGAAGTCAAATACAGCGATTGAAAAAATCCTCGAGCCACAGATAACGGCATCTAGAGTTGATCTACGTGCAAGGTTTGGATGGCTAGCAAATTTTAAGCAACGCATTGATTCCTAAGTAGAGTGTAATTCTACCATTTTGTGAGTTGACCGCAGTAGCTGTTTAAGTGTTTATCGTATTGATTGTGGTGGATGTAGCAGAGTATTCGCGGCATTCTGTAATATTTTACCTGATCTTGTCATGATATAGTAACTCTTTTGTGAACT